GTTTATTGTTTTCGTATTCTATGGTAAATTTGATGTTAGGATGAATGGAATTTATGTATTCCAAGAAAGTTAGTATGTGTTCTGTAGAAGTGAGACCAGCAAAAGTGTCATCGATATATCTGTACCAGTATAGTGGGGGATGAAGCGCAGAATGTATGGCTTGTGTTTCGATCTGGGTCATAAATATATTAGCAAGAATGGGCAAAACAGGATTGCCTGTACTTAAACCATCTATTTGAAGGAAATGTTCATTGTTGAAAATGAAGTTGGTTTTAGTTGTTGTAAATTCTAAGAGAGAAGCAAAAAGTGTGCTGGGGATTTGAATTAACTAGTTGGGGTCATTAATGTAGAAGTCAAGTGCAATATTGCAAGCTTCATTGGCGGGGACTTTGGTGAAGAGTGACACAACATCAAAACTAGCCACTGAGGCTTTCGAATTTAGCTGGTCTAGTGTATATTTGAAATTGAAGGCATCTTTAAAAAATGAACCTGCAGACGTTACATATGGTGTGAGAGCCCTGGCTATGTATTTACCAAGATTGTAGTTGAAGGAAACATAAGTGGACAGTATAAGTCTTAGGGAGCATTCTGTTTGTGTGATTTAGGAATGCCATAGAGTTGTGGTGTGCGTGAATCGGTTTTACATAGATAAAAATAAAGATTAAAAACACAGTAATTTTAAACAAAGAACCAATCATAAGCAAACAAAAAATCAAGGAATCAATCTTAATTGAACAAAACAACCCTACTCTAAACCAACACCCTGGGGTGCCTAGATATCTCTTCTAAGTCATGCAACAGTATATGGTCATGTGACCTCTTTGTTCTATACTGTATATATATATATATCTGTGTCAGTGTAAACTACTTGTACCTGATGATAACAAAACTGTGTTGAAATGTAGTACATTTGCTGTTATATTAAACTTATATTAAAGTTTTTCTTCATTATTAGACTCAAAGTGGGTTCCTCATCATCGAACAAATTTGAATTTTTATTTCTTAGCATTTCCTTTGAAGAAGTACTATTTTTATCCACTTTAGGAAAGCAACCAGAAAAAAAAATGTATATATATATATATATATGTATATAAAATAAAAAGATTTACAACCAATCAAAGTTTCTACAAGAGGGGACCCTTATGCGAGTGCCATCACAGCAGAACTGACTTCTGATGCATGCTAACTCTAACAAGATGCATTTGTGTTGGCAGCAGTGACTAAAGATACCTTTGTATGCATATATGCATCCAATGGCAGTGAAAGTGTTAATTAAAATACTTTATTATCAATGTATACAAATAAAAATAGCATCAAAATGTAGTTAATGATAGTTTGAGTTTAAAAGCAATTCAAATATTTTTTTTTAGAATTAAGAAATTTAAACTTATATAAACTCCCCTTGTATGTGTATTGTGACATTTGTTCACTCCAACTTAAACATCCCGTATTTTTTGTCACCCGTCTCTGATGTGCTGACTTTAATGTAAATTAATCTTTAAAGCACAGATATTACTAGGGCATTGTCTATTTTTTATAGCCTTTGTGTTCAGAGGTATAAACTAGATATCTTTATCACAAATTCCCAGTAATTCTCTCTGTTTGATTTACATCATTGATAACCAATAGAAAGCCAATGTATTAGTTTACAAAATGATATATGATACTGTTTTGTTCTCAGTAGAGATTTATAGTTATTTCACATATAACTTGAAAGTTGCCATTGCCGAGTTTGGATTGAATAGCTAATAGAATTATTTTAAAGCACTTTTGCCTTAGTTAGAAAGCCAGTTAAATTATAATAGTTATAAGACTGGTTTGTGTATGTTAATGTCTTTTTAAGTGCATACTTGAAATAAATAAATAAATAATTATTTAATGTACTAGTACCATTGTTGCAAAAAGTAGACTTTAAGTTTCATTGGCAGTCAAACACCAAATAACAAAATGACCAAAAAAAAGTCCTAAATATATTGTTTTTTGTTTTTTATTTTATTTTTAAACATATCTAAAAAGTAGAAAATTAGAAACTTATTAGGTTAGATAAGATTAGATTAGATAATATAATTAAAAAAGCTATAAAAAATTTATCCATAGTTTGTATTGCAGAATTATTATTCAGGTAAGGTTCAAAGGGCAATAAAAAATGAAATGAAATAGAAATTGATGCAGACTGTTATGAGCTTTAAGTTATTTAAGATAAACGATTGTAATTTTCTGTTACAATTTTCAGTCATTCTAGAAAGAAAAAAAGTAATTTAGATTTATTCCTTATTTTTTCGTAGTGGTTACAAGGTTAGTCAAATATACTGAGTTTATATAGAGTTGGGGTAGGAAAAAAAAGTTTGATATTCATTTAGGTGGTTTTACAAATTATGCAGATAAAATTTGAAAACTCTAACCTTAACATGAAAATTGCCTTGCACTTGGATTAGTAAGTACTCTGACTCCACATATTCTTGGACAAATTGTTAGTAAAAATACTTAATCAAACATTCTGGTTTTTTGTATACAAAGACTTGTGATGTTTATAAGCTTGCCAAAACTTGTGAAGATACATGTACCACAATAAATGTTTTAGTCTAGATATTTTCATGATTATCTGTGTTTACAAGATTGGTAAAAATCACTGAGCCCTTATGGAAAAAGTTTTGTATTTTCAGATTGTATCCATGGTACAGCTACATTTCCTTTTAACCATGTTATGATTCTTATAATTGTGTGGGTCACAACAATATTTAAATGTTAAAGCTCTAATATTGAACACAAATACAAATAAGAAAGAAATTAAATATCCTTCAATCACCTGTGTCACTCGATTCCATAAGAAACCCTTTGTATTAGTTGTCCTTTCTAACAGAAATGCTGAATATTTTTATTGCAATTTGTTTATGAAATAAACATTCAGAGAAAGTTTAGTATCTTCTAATTTATGTTTTAGTAGATTTATTGTTCTTTAAAAAAGTGTTTATTTCACTGCCATTACCTTTACTTTACAAGTAAATTATTTTCAGGTACCAAGTTCTAACCTGTAAGTTAAGGCTTTAAACTTATAGACCTTTAAAGAACAAGTGTTCTCAGAAACCCAAATTAAACCATTTCTTTTGTGCTTTTTTTTTTCAGGACTTTATGATAAAAAGTACATATTACTGATATTAACTGCTTTTCAAAGACTATTTTTTTAAAAACCTTCTAAATAGTTCTGATTGCTTTTCTTCAACATTTCACTAGTTAGAAAATTTGTGAAAATTATAGAGGAAATTTTTTAATTTCTTGTGATAAAATTTATTATCAAATTTACTTAGAATAGTGAAATGTATATTAACTCCTTTAAGAGAAAATGTGATACAACTGAATTATGTGGATAAATATTTATACATAAGTGAAAAGTTCTTTCAGCATATTTTTTTAAATATTCTAACCTAAGTTTAATCTTTGTTTTTATCATTAATAACATATTCCTAGGTTAAGAGAGTTTGTGCTTTATCTGGTAACTTTGAATTCCCTAACATTTGTCCAAAATTAAATACTAGATTAAGTTTACCACTGCAGTTTCTCCAATTTCATTTTAATTTAATTTAGTTACAAAGTGCACTGTATAAATGATGTTAAGGAATTATTTTTGTATTTAGCCTTCAGTTGGTAAATGTTCAAGCTTCTGTGGAAAGATATTGGCCATGTTATATTTAATCCATTATTTTTTTACTCTAATACTAACTGTATTAGCCTTGGTCAATTAACAATTTTGTAACTACCACATAACAAAAAGTACAAAATATGTGTAAATTTCCTCCTCCTTTTCTTTACAGTGACAGAATATTGTCACATAGAATAGTTTAATTTCATGTAAACTTGAAACTGGCATCAGTAAGCTGTCAGTTATGTGCATTTTATTACAAAATTGCACAATAAGAAACAAGAGTTCAATAAACTAGAATTGCATAGCAACAACGTTAAAGTGGCAAGTAGGTCCATGCATTCCAACACAATCTTTTTCTTTTCATTCCCACACCAGTAGGTCAAAGATGCTCCCAAAACATTAGATAGTAACATTTGAAAGTTCAGTACATAACTGTAAATTGTCATCAATATTAATCATATTTTCCATACTAAAATATGATTGTGACAGCTTTATATGTATCCTTTTTGTGTTTTGTTTCTGTTGTTGTTTGGAATTCATTTGATTAAGGTTTCCAGATTCTTTTGTGACCGTTTCCACTTGTAGGTCTGTGCTGCCTATAACAACAGTTACAACTCTTGCTGAATTTGTTGTTGCAGTGATGTCTGAAGTATCTGATCAATTGAGCTTTTTCATACTGTGTTTTGATATGGTTTTACCTCACTTCACACAAAATTATCTCAATATTCATCTCCCTCTAAGCATTGCAAAGGAAACTTTTCATGACCAGCGTACCAGTCTACACAGTGTGGTCACAAGTAAATAGACACTACCTTTTCAGAAAAAAAACAAAGTGAAGTTTTTGGTGTTGCATAACAAGACAAATATAAGATGTACAGAACAAAAAAAAATTCAAAATCATAAACCAACAAAAGTGTAATTGTGCTGTTTGTTTTTCCAAAGTAGTTAGTAGTACTTTATTAACTTGCTGTATATATATATATACACACACACAGCATGGTCACAAGTAAACAGACACCACCTTTTCAGAAACAAAAAAAAAATTTCAGTCATATTCACATGAATTGATATATTTATAATTTAAT